AAGGAACGTACAAAGACTATGATAAATTCTAAAAATTGCAGCTGAAACTCGTACCTGTTCACAACAAAGTCTGAGGTAGTTTAGAACCACTCTATGAGAAAGAAGGAAAGGGATTTAATGCACAAAAATTTGAAGATACAATTATAATTGCTACAGAGAAGGGGAGTGTAACAAAGTGTAAAACAGATCTAAACTACTGTCTGTCAGGAAAGAGGAGCTAAACACAGAAATAAGTGAAAAAGTTCACTAAAAGCTAAACTTCTATTTAGCCTGGCTCTGAACATTAACATTCACTACAAAAACAAACAAACAAACAAAACAACAAATCCAAAAACAATAATGAAATTGAGCAAAGCAGAAAGGAAATTTTACAAGAGATTGGACAAGGTTAACAGACATAGGGTCCAAATTGTGAAGTAGCACTGAACTTCACAAAGTGAATCCACATGCTCAGTGTGATGTTTGGATCTCTGACAGCTGAAATACCTTCACACAGGGACACTGAAAAGTTACAAATGCTTTCAAGATTCACTTTTGATGATGCAGTTTATTTAGAAAAGAATATTTATGTACAATCAATGCATTAAGCAATGCACAACTAACAAATTGAGCATATATCTGGTGCATCAGGGTGAGAAAGAAATACTTACATTTATATTTAAGCATAATTTAGATTAACCAGCACAAAACCTGACCTACTTCTTAAGTCAACAGTAAACTTGTTACTGATTTTTCTCTTAAGGGTAACAGATTTTAAACAGATTATGGAAGCACAAGGTCCAAAAGGGTTAGTATTTTGCATATCCATAGACAGCCAAATTTAAATGCTGCTCACTAGCACTTGTCAGCCTAGTGGCAGTTGCCTTTAAAGTCTGATGTGAATGAAAGGGGATGAGGATATTTTATTCAGCATATGACAAAGAGGAAAAATAAAGAAAGTTTTAAAATTCCTTAAAATATCACAATATGGAGGAAAGCTGCAGGGAACACCAGTGATATGATGCTAGATAGGGAGGAAAAGAGAAGAAGTAACAAGCAGATTGGGGAATGCATGTAGGAAAAAGTAACAGCTGAGAAGACTGGAGACAAACAGAACTAGCTCAGACCACAAGAATCATATCTTTGTGTTCCTCTTCCCATAAAAACTACTGAAGCCTCACTCCCTACGTTCTCTTTTAGTGCTCACATTCAGGTGAGTGAGATTCCTTAACAAAATTCCCTAAATTAAAACGGAAAGGTCATGCAGAAACACATCTTTGCAATAGTCACTTCAGCTTGGGTAACACATACATTTTCTTTGCTATATATGCACAGATGCAACCATGCAATTCCATACCAGTCTCTCCCTTAAACTGCTCCTTGCAACACCAGCTCTTGCTTTAACTGACATTTTTAAATCTAATCATCTACCTTCCATGAATTTTGTATTATTGTATAAAAACATTCACTTAAGTATTTACCTCTCAAAATGAATAAGGGACATAATTCCTGAAATAGATCCAAAGAAGAAGAAGAAGAAATTCTTTACTGTGAGGGTGGTGAGACACTGGAACAGGTTGCTCAGAGAAGCTGTGGATGTCCCATCCCTGAAGGTGTTCAAGGCCAGGTTGAATGGGGCTCTGAGCAACCTGGTCTAGTGAAGGTGCCTCTGCCCATGGCAGGGAGGCTGGAACTCGATGATCTTTAAGGTCCCTTCCAATCTGAATCATTCTATGATTCCTTGCTTCCTCTGCTGAAAAGAAGCTGTGATAACTACTGTTCACTGGCACATAGCTCACACACATAAACCCTCATCTGAACAGTAATACTGTCCAACTTACTTGATATTTCAGGAGTCAGCTGTACTTTTTGGACATGTAGAATTTGGTGTAAAAGACCATATAGATTTGTTTTGTAAATTCCTCAGACTACTAAACATAGACTGAAGTTGTTCATGTATATCTGCCAAATCTCAGGAGTCACTGGATAATTCAGAAAATTATGACAAACTAGGTTACCTTGTTTTAACCAAGCATCTGCACAAAGAGAACAGATGTGCCAAGATGATAAATACGAAAAGAATGAGTAAAAGTTCATTTTACCAATAGTGCAGCTTTCCTCCTCTATTATAGATCAGGGTCTAAAGTAGTAGGAGGCACTGGAGAGGTATGTTTACACCTGTGTAGGGTGATGCCACCACTCATTCAAGCTTTTAGTAATCTGAACTTCAATTCCATTATGGTTATGTAAGGAATCAATTATCATTTTTTGCCAAACACCGAACTGTATTATTCTATTAAGGCTGGAAGGAATGAGTAAGAGAAGAGAAGTAATTCTCTAATGACTGTTTGGTGATAATGTCTAATGCCAAGGGTGGAAGGAACTGATTCTTCACCTCCACCATTTGTATGTATTGTAGTAATGAAACACATACAGAATGACAAAACTGGTATGTAGTTGTACTGCCAGTCAGTCTATTGGTAAATGACAGATATCTGTAGTTTCCTCATTCTATACTGAAGTTTTTAATTTGGACTTTCTTTCTCTAAGAAAAGCAGCAGGGTGGCTTTAAAACTTTTGACAGTAAACAGTCAAACAGAGACCCAGATTCTATCATGGAATATGAGTGGGACTTTGACACTATCTCAGCCAAAGCTTTGCAATGAAACCTTGGGAAGGGCCAAAAAGACTGCAGGGTGTTTTTGAGCAGTTAACTGAAATCATATGAAGGCTCACTCTGTAAACACTGCAAGCCATAGCAGACAAGGCAGCTAGGAGGAATATCTGTGTTCTTTGGACTGCAGCCCTGTCTTTGAAATTAGCATTTAACTTGCTCTATGTTTTATACACCCCAGCCAAAACACTAATACTTGACAACTGGGCAACAAAGCACTTTGGACCTGCTCACCCATACCTTGTTTGGACATTAGCACTTAAGCAACCATAACATAGTCACCATCCTGCCATACCACAGGAGCAGCACTTCACACATGCCTGAAGACATTTTATTTGTTTGTTTGTTTGTTTTTAGTTTTGGAGCTTTAGAGCCTGTTCTAAATTCAAGCTACAGAATTAGCTACTAGCTCGATTTAACATATATATATGTGTGCATACATATATGAATATTTAGGTACTCCTAAAACCTGACCCAGAACTTTTATTTTTGTATCCTGAACAAAGCTTTGTGGAGCTTCTATATATATATCTAAGTTAACTAGTACAACTGACAACAACAATCAGTTCAGAGAGAACTAATGATTCTAATCTAAATAGACCATTCATTGAGAAACTGGGATGAGAACCAGGCCTCAAGCATCTCCTAGGATCTAAAAACTATTATTTCTGAAGCATGGTTTAGTCCTCTGGCAACTAGTATCATGACACACAAGCCTAAACGTTTACTCTTAAATATATTCTTACTGGCTCTGATTATTTGCTCACTACTATAGCCATAACAACAAAGTTACCAATGCATTCACTTGTTTATTTGACAGTATACTAACACCTGCCAGAATATCAACCAATTAATATCTTCATAGAGAAATGCAATGTATAGCATGTGAAATCAAATCTAAGTTTTAGTTCCTTACTGAGTGTCTCTGAACGGGCATCACTTTATTACCAGAACTACGAACACACAACAATCAGACAAGAATGGCATTAACTTTGTCTTCTAATTTTTGTACTGAACATTTAATTAGATTGGAACAATTACAGACATCTTTTGCTTTCTTTCATGGAAACCAACTCTCACCAGGTCAGATACTCAACTGAAAATCCTCTATTGTAACCATTAGTAAAGATGAAGATGCATGAAATTGAATTTTTTAGTAATGCTGAGAAGCATTGAGCTCTTACATGAGTTGTCATAATAAACAAGATAGCCTGATTTTTGTGAGGAAAAAAAGAAAGAAAGGGAGCTTTAAAGGAAGGAAACTGCAATGGAAAAGAGTTCCTACTCTAAGAAAATTGGTATGTCTCCTCTGTGCTGTCTTTTACATTAGATTTGGGTTAACCTCTCTCATTGGAATTCCATTTAACAAGTCATTTGACCTTATTTTAGAGTTGATTGGAAATGGCTTGAAAACAGAGCTGAACAATTTTGTCTCACTTAAAAAATTAATTTTCCCAGATAATAATTTCCCCCTACATTTCTGTGAATAAAAAAACCTTTTATTTGCATTTCGGAAAAGTTAACTAAACAAAAAGATTTTTAGAAACGTCTTTGTTGAGCTCCACATGAGTTAAGTCTAAATCTGAATTCAACCCATGGAAGAAAAACTGAGAAAATGAGGCCTGGGGAACTTAGAGATACTAAAGTACCAAATAGAATTAATGGCTCAGTAATGACAACACAGTTAGTTGCAGTATGTAGAAATCTAACAGCAGGTCTATTTCATAGTTTCTGACGAGAAAGCCATGAATGCCTGGTCAGTTCTGCTCTATCCTTGTTGCAAATAAAATATCAGTGATCGCACAGTTCTGAATAACTATAGTATTTCATCACTCTGATAAACCCTGATACTAAGCCATAACAGCACTACTTACTTTCACTGGAAGGAAAAACAAAGGTAAAAAAGAAAAGAAAACTTCAGAAGAATATACAGGAAGTACATTTGAAATTGGGAGTCAATAAATACAGACAATAGACAGAATGCAAACATTCACACCAAACCACAACTCAATTCTGTGTGGTGTCTTCCTCTGTCACTAGTAATACGTTGCTGATACAACGTTTAAGAGAAGAGACCTCTTCTAGGCAATACAGGTATTAGGGGTGTTTGTTGGTGGGTAATATTAGAAGACCAAGCAGAGTTCAGGACTCTGAAAACATTCTTTCTTTAAATAAAAAGGGTAAAGGTTGAAAATGTGAAGTTGTGGCAGGGCTTGCCTTAAAACCCCAGGAGCTCACTGGGCTCACCTTGGTGACAGATTCTAAGAGCAACTCTGTATAAAATAAAGACTCTGAGAAGGGCCATTGTGAGTAAGCCTAATACTAATACCTGCAGGAAGAGACAATGCAAAGTTGTTGGTTTTTTTATTGATTTATGGGGGTAAGGAAACGAAGGGTCTATAGGACCTTGGAGTTTTTGCTCTGGGAATCTCAGATATGTTCATTCATATTCTTGGCAGAGAGTGAATATCATGGGAAACAGACACTTCTGTTCCACAGTGAGTCACAGGACAAGATCAAAAAGATGTGCAGTAGGTTATAGTCTACAAGATCATAAAAATTAATTTTGTATCATAAAAATTAATTGTGCACATTAAAGATTGCAAATGGAAAAATCCCATTCTTTCTCTGGGAGCCTAGACTCAGAACAGCTGGCACAACCTTTTCCTAATTTTGTTTTTTAACATTCTCTACAACAGTGACTACTAAATACTAACAGCTAGAAATTTATGCCCTTTGCTCCACAGTTTGACAAAAGCAGACTTGTTTGATCAAAGTGCAAAGAAATACCATCACTCACACAAAAGGACTTATATCTACCAAAGGCAAGACACACTCCATGCATCTCAGTAGTTCCAGCATGGATTACAACAGGAGAAGTTTTCTGCTTTTACTTTTCAAAGGGAAAAAAATTTCAACTTTTTGGACCTATACTTAAACAAGAGGGTGGTGTCCCCAGTAGCTGGTCTCAATTCTTTCATGCTCCAAAGGCTGCTAAGCCATAAGGTAATCAGCCCCACAGATGAGGAGGTGACTGTCACAAGCAGAATCCTATCCCAGAACTCCAGACTGAGGCAGCTGTAGCACATACATTAGAAGCTTTATACAGCACAATGGGCATCCATCTTCCCCAACAAGCATTCACAAGTCAGGAGACAGCAGTGGGAAGGGAGAGGACTGTATGCAAATGTCTGAACTAAACTGTAATTTGGCAATGAAAATACTGTAATATTATTGATAAAGCCTAATCAATTTTATTTGAAAGAAGAAGGGACGCTTTTCTTATTAGAAATTTCCTCTGATTCACTGCTACCACCGATTATATTTCTTTTTGGGTTTAGCACAACTAGTATCCAACAGGGAAATTATTTCAAATTAAGTAGTGTGATAAATTAACATACAATTCACTATGTTGATATAACTCATTTTATCACTATGATTATGCAAAGCAAAACCGTATTTATCCTGCACCAGCTTTGTTTTCTTCTGACAAGGCTATTTATCACCATAGGAAATTCCAAGTTCATAAAACTGGTTAGCTGACATTTCCAATATAATATACTTTGTGAGGAGTAACAATCCTCCTAATCAATTTTGCCAATTACATCAGCATTTGTCTTAAAACAAAATGTCTTTATCCCATAGTGAAAGATCAACAGGGAGTTCTTCCTAAAAGTCATGCAGGTCTAGAGAGTAAGAGACTGCATCATCATCAGTGTGAAAACAGAATAAGCAAAGTAGCAGGCAATGCAATCCAGACAGACACGGATGGATAATGAATTCTGTAACTGTAAACTAAGAACCAAATTTTTTACAATACAGCGCAAAAGCATCATATTTTGTGAGGCTCATGAGAAATGTTAATGCACACATAGCCTGTGAATTTTTAGCTCCAGACTGTAAAACAATTTTTCTTGGAAAAATGTAAGTTATCTGCAAATTCTTCTTTCTGTATTTGAACAACTGCTTGTCAGTGACCAGATGCAGTTCCACTTTTCTAAACCGAACATTTTTGATGATCTGTTGCAAGTTGTCTTAGAAATGCAGGCAAAATTTAATCATTTTCAGGAGTGAAAAAATATGCTTTTCTTCAAGATGGATGTTTGATTTAGGAATTTCCTTTTTGAGTGTAAGAAATGACAATTTTGTACTTTGAAAAGTCAACTAAGGTCAAGATTAATACAGATACATTAATTAGTTTGTTGATATCATGAACGCTTTTCTTGTCATCCCACTGATGAATGAGGGAATTTGCATCTCAGCAGGTAAACATGTCTGATACTTCCTTAATCTACTGTACAGGATTGACTACAGCCAAAAATAAGAGACAAACTGGAATACAGGGTCAAAATGATTTAGAAAACAGATTACTAGTTACAAAGGAATATGAATAACATATATGCTGGACTGATGTGTTCCATAAATATTTTTTTTTGCTAATGAAAGCCTCTAGGGAACAAATACTTATTTCATATGCCTTCCATTCTGCTCCAGTAATTTTAGATTTCCACTGTAGCTCTGCCTTTTATTTCCTTCTGTTTTCCTTGCCTTGGTTAGATTAGAGAGGTAGGGTGTTAATGGGGTAATTGATGAGGATTGAAGACCTATTTTCTCACCCCTTGAAGACCAGCCTGATTTGAACAAATCGAGGAGAGTGAAGCAGTCTCTTCATGTGCTCAGGAAAAGCCTTTTCCATTTCAACGTTTCCAGCTTTCAGACATGGTCTCCTTTGTTCACAAAGAAAGAAAAGGTGCCAGCACAAGAAGGTTCTGAATAATTTCACAGAATGTCATCAAGGCTGCAAAAGCTCCCTTTCAACCTTCTTTATTGTTGGTGAGCATGTGAACGCAAGGTGGATCCAGGAGGGGAATGCAGGGGACTAGTGCTTGCAGCTCAAACAGGGCGAGAAACAAGCTACTGTCCAGCAGTCCCCACCTCTGTTGATGCTACTTCCTTACTACTCTCGTCCTTGTGGGTACTGTTTTGTGCTGGGCACTCAAAATGCACACAGTGAAACACCTGGAGAGAACGAAAAATGAAGATAAAGCAAAACAATTTAATGCTGGCAAAAGCACGATCAAAGTAAGATGAAGTCTATATGGAAGTGTGCAGGCCAGATCAATGACAAAGTAATTAGTCAAATTAGAATGTTTCGCCATGAGGTCAAAAACATTTATCCATGGGCAATAAACTTTAGAAAAGGACACCAGTGGAGCAAGAGAAGGCCTTCAAATTATACCAACCTTTACATATGGCACTAAAAATCAGAAAAATACTTCAAAAGTGGATAGAGATATTTGTAAATTATTCTTTTCCTTGCCAAGTAGCAGAAATATCTACTACATGCTATCAGATGACAACAACAATTATATTGTCTTAAACACATCTTACAATATAATTACTTCCTCAAAAGGCTGAATGTTCACGTACACTAGAAATGAAATTTAAATCATTACCAACATGATTTTATTTCAAGATTGCCCTCTGCTGTAACAGCAATGGTAGCTCTACAGACATGTCCTGGAGTATGTAGAAAGGCATTCAGAGTGTCCACGGAGGCTGCTGCTTCATCAGATGAAATATTCCATTTCAAACAGTGATCATTTACTGATGTTTCAAACAAAATCTGGGACCAGTGTACAGGTGACTGTATCTTAGAGGACCATCTGTTTAAGCATTTTTTCCATTTTATTTTCTACTTTACTTACTCTTACTTCTACTTACTTCTTGTTCTTGAAGTGCCTGGGAGGAGAAGGGGGAGGAACTCTTTAAAATTGTTACAAAACTTCTTTCCATATGATTTCTCATTGCTACGAATTGCACAGCTTTGCTACAGACTAAACATAAATCTTTTCTTATACTGTTTTAAAGTCTGCTATTTTCTCATGCCTTATTGTTTTAAAGCTAAAGCTTCATGAACATTAAAACCTGAATTTTAAAATTACTGTCTCGTCTTAACTTTGTATGCTTTTATGACATTTTCTATTATTCTTGTTGAGAGCAGATCATGTTTTTAAAGCTCTTCTCACAAACAAAGATAATCTCTTATAATCTTAACTGCCCTTTCCCAGACCCTTTCAAGTTATTGTGGGCAAAATCAAATACCATAAACAAGACATGGACATACTACATATTCATACAAGACTACATAATATTATATTTTCTATCCTTTCTTCAATACAACCTAAAATCCTGTTATTCTTTTTGACCATCCCTGCTCAAGTGCACACTGAGCAGACATCTGTGTTGACATGTCTGCAATAGCCCCAGGTCTTTTTTGAGGATATAGCTAGTTAATTCCAATTCTGACAGCACACATGAAACGAATGAAAAAGTATTCACAGTCACTCGTTTTTTTTTTAATCCCCATTATATTTTCTTGTGCCTCTCAGTGTAAGAATTCTTGCAGTTCTTTATACAGATACATGGTGATGCATGCTTATATTTCTGTATTTATGTACATGCTCACATGCATTGCTATGCCTTTATAATATATACACTTATGAGCAGATTACAAATCCACACCCATAGCCACATACAGACACATGTGCACAAAATGGTTTTTCTCTGCTATTCTTCTGGTGAGTCTTTTTCTGAAGCTGAACTAATTCCTACAGCGGCATGAATTCTCTCCGTCTGTTACAGTTCTTGAGAAGCTGATTTATGTATTTAGTTACACTTCTCGAGAAGCCCCTTTTGTACTCATCTCGCCCCCGTGTTTTTAAAGTAACAGCTATTCTCATTTTTCCAGCTGCACTTACAAGGATAAGGCCTTGCAGAAAAGAACATTCTCTCACCTCTTTAAGATGCTGCTTTCCTTGAAAGGCAGCACAGTCTAATGAATGGGATACAAGTCTTCAAATCAGAAGATTCCATATTTCTACTGTATCCCACAACAATAGTGTTATCATTTAAAACCTCACTTTACATAGTGATGCAGATTTTTTAAATACAGTGTGGGTAGCACTAAAATCTATCTAATACTAGTCTAGAAAGTCAGAAGTACCTGATCCTTATATTCTAAAATTAATTTTTACTGATTCTTTCATACTAAATTCTTAATGCTCAAAACATCTGGCACATTAACAAGCCTGTGAATTTAGAACATTTTTCTCAGTTACTCTGCCACATCAAAATGTAAAGAATAGAGCATGTGAGAGAAGCATAAGACTGAGAAGCACAACTGAGCTCAACCGCTTCAGCTGGCATCGGAATTAAGTATTTCAGAACAGTATTACTAAAACAAAGAATGTGTTTCTCTCAAAAGAAAAAGATGACAGTTCAGCATCATCCTCTGACCCACATCAGTTATACTTCTCATGGATATTTTAAGAAAGGTCAGACATACAAAGAAGGAAGGCCAAGTACATACACACTGGTGCAGTAATTTGTAAGATAAAGCTCTCACATCAGCAACTAGGTGTCCTTTCCAGGTCAGTAATACTGAAGAGGAATAACAAGGTAAACTTACATAAAGTATCAGGTGACCTGTCTGACAAATAAATGAAGACAAGAACTAAGAAAAAGTAATCCTTTTCTCTACAAAAGGAGCATGTCTGGGAGCTCAAGAAAAAACCCCCAAAGTTACAATTCTATCTTGTTCTAATATACCAAAAAAAATTCAAATATCAGGTCAAAAAATCACTGAACATCACGTCTTCCAAAACCTGGAAAACATGGCAAAGGTAAAAACAAGTTTAAAAGATTAAATAATTCAAAAAGTGGAGAAATTTTATAGGATTTTTTTCCAAGTCCAAAAGTCAACTCTTCACTTGGGGAAGTACAGATTGTGCTTCAAAGTTCAAAGGTATGTGTTGGTACAACAAGCAAGAAGTATTTTTGTACCTATTACAATAATACTCCTTGATAAAAATATGCTGCCATTAGTATATTTTATTTAAAATGAGAATGGTTTGACAAAATATACAAGCAGCTGTGGGCAAATAATTATGGAAACTGCTGGTATTCTTACTGAAGAGACTACTGAGACTACAGACTCCAGAACAAACCAAGACTTCAGTTACACTATTATTATTTAAATCAGAAATATGAAAAATATCTTGCTTCCTTGTTTGGAAAATTAAAATTTATGCCAAAATATTACAGACCATTTGTTTAATATATCTATAGATACATAAAAGTAATTTAGTAATAATGCACACACCAATTATGTTCCTACTTTACAGGATTTAGGAGAAACTAAAAAATAATAATAAAAAAACTAAACAAAATTAGTGTTGGGTACAGGTTTTAAAAACAAAAGAGGAAAAGACCAAGACCACCAGCATGTGTTTATAATTCCACTGCGCCACTATATGAATAGCTGCAACCTCAATCTACACATACTGTTCTTCACTAGTTATGCAGTGCTCTATATAAATAAATTACACAGGATATTAAAATCCTTGAAAATAGTAACCAGTTTGAAATTGGAATTATGGTTAAAAGCCTATTACTCTTCAGGGCTTAAAGCTACCTTTAAGAATTAAAAGCTGAAAGTGATATATACTGTAGGCTGGTTGGCTAGTTTCACTCAATGCACCTCATTCTTTTTTGACAAAGAGTTGAGAACGTACGAACACTGGCACGAGAGGAAACAAGACTGTCATTATGCAGTTGACAAACTCTAACTAATCCAAATGTAAGAGTGCTATCCCAAGTTCTTTGTAGAAAGCGTGAAAAGTACAATGGTTGGTGGTGAACTCCACGTGTGGGATGTAGACATGCACGTGTATACACAGAAGCAGCAGCGTTTGGTGCCTCTTACAGTCTTGTCATATAAAGTCCTAATCTCACAAAGACTTACAAATATTATTAAATTCACATATTGTAAATTGTTTCATTGAAGTCAAGCGTAAAATCTGGACTTCATCTGAGACAATGCACAACGATTAAGAAAGACAGAAGCACAAGTAAATAAAGAGAGGATGATACTGCACTTGGTTGGTTAAGGGCCATTTTTTTTTTCTGTATAAAATTAACAATATCTCTTGGTTTGGCCACTGTTATTCAAATGATTTAACAGGTATGAAAATTAATTATAAATGAATCTTATGCAAATAAGATTTTCTTAAAAATACAGGATTTTTCTTATGTTTTATTAATTAAAAAGATAATATAAATGTGATAAAAACCAAGTAATCAGAGACCATACACCTTTCTAGTGTGCTAAAATGGTATTTTCATCGTTTATCGAATAAGGATTAGTTTAAAACCAAACCCAGTAGAAATGTTTGATGGCAGCGTGGAAAGGTCAAAACCAGGAACAGACAGTAACATCATTAAACACTCACATAAGAAAAGCATTCATTCTAATTTTGCTAGATTGCCAGAGCAAAAAAATTAGGCGTGTACATCTGAGAAGACCTTATCAATTTCACTGCAAGATATGAAAACCTGTATCGTTGTGTATTCATGAAGAATGTAGGTTTTCTTAAAAGTTCCTTACCTCATTAGCTGTGTTGCGAGTTCCAACTATTCTGATAAAAGATGCAGGCTGTTTATCAAAAGTGATTGTTTGCCAGGATCTACAAAGAAAATCCAGAAAGACATACAAATATTGAACACAGTCACAAAAGAATGCATTCAAGTGACTGTAAGTACTATTATCACTTAATATGGCAAATAGAGAAACACTTTCCATTGCCTGAATTTCCAGCACTCCTCCCTCATTTTTATTTTTAAGTGTCTTGACTCTGCTTATGTGATTTCATACATACCACTTATACCACTATAATTTGTGTGCAGGAACATTAATCATACTATTGTTGAAAGTTAAGAAAACGGTAAAAGAAAAGAAGCCTAAAATCTAAAATCCTTGGCTAATATTGACTGTATTAGATAAACAAAAGGTCAGACAAATAAAAGTAAATGCATTCTCCTGTTAACTACTCATGAGAAATCATCAGAGCTTGGTTAAAGAAATTACAGATCTAAGGAAAAAAACCCAACAAAACAAACCACCCAAAAACTCAAATAAACTCATCTCACTCTAAGTGGAGCAGTAGAGGCAGAGGAGCCAAGCTTCCTTTGTGTGGGCCAAGGTCCTTTCAGAAAATTGTAAGTGACACAAAGCATTCTTTGCAGGTCAGGTCGTGAAGATTTCCCCATCCTGATACAGAGGCAGTGAGGAGAATAGATCACTCCTTCAGAGCTGGCATATAACTTTTTGGGCTAGACTGAGAACACTAGAGGTACAGTGGGACCAGTATAATCTTTTTTTCTCGTTCATACTCTTCTGATCTCGGTGAGGGGCAGCACCTCAAGTAATGTAATACACAGCAGGAAAAGGACACAACTTCCTACATACCTTTGTGCTTATAGAACACACTGACAGTGAAAGAGAAGAAATAAAAAGAATACCAGGAAATAGAGGTTTCGGTTTGGTACCAGTCCTCCACTATACTAGATTAGTACTTGAACACATTAAAATTTAAATTATTTTACATTCATAAAACATGCAAATGAGATACACCATTTAACTTTTCGCTGAAACAGACTCTATCATAGATGGTTTCAGAAATAAAATGGAGTTAAGTCTAACCTGATTAACTGACTACAGAAGTAAAACACTGGATAGTTTTCCAGAATGGGTTCAGAATACCTTTAGAAGTGTTCATATAAGAAAACAGGACCAAAGCAAAACTGGAATAAAACACTACTCACCACCAATAGACTACCCCAAAGCCTGGCAGTATGAACAGATTGGTTGCTGACTATTTGTCAGACACTTGATTTTTCCCTTAGTAGGAAAAACCTTTTGTCACAAACATTGCATTTCTGGGATTAAATTAGTCTGCTATTACTTCTATCACTGCTGTCTGGTTGTTTTTGCTTAAAGAAGATTATGAGCCCAACTGAGACTGAATTTCAAGTAGTTTACTGGTCTTACCACATCAGGTAATGGGTGTAATTAGAGTTACTCATGATAACAGAAAGGAGTTTATTTATATCCCTCGTGTGGCTATACCCTTAATTTAAAGCTCAGGCTGTTTCTTCATGCTCTAAATAAAATACAAAAAAATGAGAATGGACTATTTTGTTGACTGTCCCAAGATCTGAAAGACTGTTATGATTTAAACATTTTCCCCCTAAACAGGAGAGTAATTATGGAATTGCTTTCTACATTACTCTAGTACAGCCAGTCAGTTAGTCCCCATGACCAAACAGAACTTGTTACCTTAAAGTACAAAGTCCCAAAGATGAGCAGCTGGGACAATAAAATGTCACAACACTACTTCTCACAACAAAGCATTGCCATAGTTTGCATTATGTATATGCTTTCACATTTACACACATACACACTTTATGCAAGGACAATGATGCTGTAAAAATCAGATTTCCCTTTTTAGTGATTTGGAAAATACTTTAAAGCTATTAGAAATAAAAGAGTATAAAATCCTAAAGAAGCTATTAAGAACAGTCCACGCCTTCCTAGACACCAAGGTAGAGTTTGTGTTCCGTGACAAGAAAATACGTTAATTAGGGATCATAGAATAGAATATAAGTGGGTCTGTATTTATTTCTACTATTTCTGAGCACTGGTCAAATAATCACTGCAAGAGCTCAGTGCATATTTTCCAAGGACGGCAGTAAATGCCGTTGTCTGTGCTATGATGTGATAACAAGAAAGCTGATGCATCTATTTGGAAATACAGCTGAAGAGCACAACAGATAGTAAGAGGGGTTGAGAAAAAGATCTCTGAAGATCGTTTTGACAACACACTTCCAGGTCAGCTCATCCAGGAAGTCCTTAATTTCTCCCACGTCCCACTTCGTTAGAAGCCCTTACTTTCTGCTACAATGCTGTTCGTAGTATTGGATTATAATTACGCCTTTAATAATATTAAAATGTAATGAAAAAGAGTAAAAAAATTTCTTGATGTGAGGCCTGAAGGGAGATAGGTTTTTCAATAAATTCAGTCTCAAAAATATTTACTGTTTTGCTATGTGTCCATTTTGTTCCTTTCCCATCGGAAAATCAAAATTATAGACCATTTCTAGAAGAGTTATTAAAATTCAAGAATAGTGCCACTAGAGAATTAGTACTTGATTGTATAATGAGAAAATTAGGTCTCTTAGTTTATTTCCTTAGCAAAAAGAAAAAAAAAGCAAAATAGAAAACACGCCAAATGGATTTGTGAAGAATCACTTTTGAAATAAGCAAGGCAAACCTTCTTCACTGGAAACTTTCATGGATTCGGCTGCAGCAGTATATTTGAGAACATCAATATATGCAAAGCAATAGCTCTCCAGTACAGATATAATTATGCATCAAAGAGATAATTTATGCATGTAACTATACCCATATGAGAAAAGAGATTACTGACAGAACATTATCAAGGCATATCTGACCTCTTTTTGCATTTTTTGCTGATATAACAAATTCACTAAGACTTCTATTTATGTATCAGGCCATAACAATTGTTCAGTGGTGTTCCTTGATTAAGGACATTGTGGGTAAGCCTTAAGTTTCTTTTTAACCTTCCTTACTACTAGTAAAGCAGTACATGTCTAGTCACGCCATGCATATTTGCTCACTTTATATTTTCCTCACAGGAGCTAGTCTTTCTATTCTCAAAATCGCTTTTGATGGTCTTTACAAAATTTTCCTCCAAACTTTATACATAGCTCTGCCATTGATTCACACATAAGTCACTGCATTCCAGGAACAGCAGCATTCAAGTATATCAAAAGCACCTCATTTTTAGCCTGGGATTAGATAGCTCTATGTAATAGATGGCATTTCTTCACCTTTACTCCCCATATGCCAAACAAACAAATCTTCCAAACTGGTGGCAATACTTTCACTGTCTTTACCTAGGACACAGTCATAAAGAAGCTATCAGAATTTACTTCTCTCATAAAATGACATTGCTGTCTTTGGACTTTTCGTGTCTCTGTAGTCCTTATTAGTGACCCTCTAACAAATACATTTTTCAGGGTTTAGCTTTATTAAATATTCAGGCAGTGTCGATTTTTTTTTCTGCTTTGACACATGTCTTGCTGGTTGATTTGTTTTAGATTTGTTGGCTCAATCTGCAGCAGTTCTGGTCATCACTTTCACAACAGAAATAATCACTACCTCAAGCTGAGGTTTACATCTATAAGAGAAGACTCAAGGCTAGCAGCCTACTCAGATTTATACCAGGGTCCTCAAGCTGAAATGCAGCACTACAAGTTATTTGGCTAGCAAATGTCCCCCGATACCACAACTCCATTTTCCAAAAGAAATTAGCCTTGTTACAGTCCTACAGTGTTTTATTTAACACTCTACATCTCACCTCAGCCACCCGACTTTTAACTGTCTTCTTCTACCCAACTCCCCTAAGGAGATGCAGTAATTGGTGATTAGCATTCCAAAGCCATGCTTGCATCCTGTGAGCCTGTCATATTTAATTACATTTTAACTATATTCGTCTTCTATAATAGCCTGAACATAATTTAGATAATTATCTTTTGCTCTCTTATTCTCTGACTGTGCCTGTCTCACTTAGAGCTTCTTGCAATAAAATCACTTTCTCTGTTCAAACATATAAACAGACTCTTGGGCCAAGTGCTTTCATCTCTCCAACGGCAACAGCTGAAAACCCAATGGCTTTGTGCATCTCACAATCTCTTCACCACACTCTATTCAGAGGAAGAAAAAAATATTTGAAACCGCTCTACTTTCATGTCTGTTGTCTTTTTTCTTTATTAGGCTATTACAAGAAAAATGCAAGAAATACTCATGTCCAATAGCTTGCTATTGCTTTAACTATCTATAGCTCCAAAATAGCAACTCACCTCCTAAAGAATATAATGGTTTTTCTCAGCATTTGGAATCTTTGCCTAGTTATTTCTAAGAAAGGCTGCTATCTTTCTAAAGATTTATTACATATAATAGGACCTAAATAGCGACTCTTTCCCATTATTTCCTTCTCTTCTGGAAAGAACAAATTGAGAAAGTAGTGGAAGCTTATCTTTTATTGAGGTTTTCTAATGAGCCACAGGCACTACAGAATACTACCAATACTACCCACTCTGTGGGCTACCAGAGCAGCACCGATCAGAGCTGAAACCAAGTTCAGGCCAAAAATATCAGACAAAAGAGAAAGCTGTTACATGTGACTAACATTCAAAAGCTGTAATAACCACATCATATCCATATCAAGGCTTGCTTTAGGCTAAGCATGTATGTTTTCAGTGTGCACATTGTGTCTCCTCACTTTCCACAGTGACGTACAACCTCCATTTTTTGTTCCTCACTTCAAAAAGAAAAGCAGTGCAGACTGGGAAACAAATGTAACTTTTTGTTACATTTGTAACAATTAGAAAGTAAAATGTCCATTTTACTTTCTAATACTTGTCCACATAGGCCTTGTTCTACAGTAATAGTGAAACACTTCTTAGCTTATTTGAATGCAGACTTCTTCAATTGTGACTACATTTTTGTTTAAAATGAAATTTGTAAAAGCAAATGACAGGAAAAGGAAAGAAGAGATGTATTGTCTTTCCATGTATTAGTCTGATGACTGTACTGATAAAA